ATCCTGCAGAAAGTTCAGTCTTAACTCAGTTGTGTCCAGAAATTTCCTTGAGGTTTTCTATCCACTTCCTGGACCAATCTACTAATTATTATGTTCCACCCCAGAGGTCTCAAATTCAAATCCATCATGAGAATTCATTCCTTAGCTTGAGGGCTTGCAATACTGAAGCCTTTTCATGCGCTGATAAAGAAATCTCTAGTGAGTCAAAAAGTTTTTAAAAATGAAGAGGATCATTATATGACAGTAAACATAAATGAATTATTTAAAAAAAAAAAACTGCAAAGCAGACCTACTTGTGAAATGAAACCATTTCACTTTGGCCACTTAGCTGACAGTGTTTTTTGTTGACTAAAATGACATGAAGATATTTCATTATCTTTAAAAGTCTTTGAAAAGTATTCTTGAGGTGAATTAAAATCATCATTCCAATTAGGATGGATATTAAGTATTTAAATATTTTTTTAAATCTCAAATGTATTTGTACCATATAGTATATTGTAATGGTTATTTTTTTAAAAAAAATACCATGCATAGAATCACAGAAATATGTTTCTGTCTCAGTTTTTCTTTATTTTTTTGGTAGGACAAAAAGAGGCTCTTTCAAAATCATAATGAGACACCAACATCATTCTTGAAGAAACTAATGCCATCCATCAGGAAATTCAGGGAGGGAACCTACAATCAAAATTCCATATTTCCCTAAGAAAAAGAGCCGGGGGGAGGGGGGAGAACAGAGAAATCACACAGAGAGAAACTAAGAACTATACAATCCCACAATATGGCAGATTCCATTCCCTTTGGATTCCTGTTCCATCTACTTAGCTTTGGGGCTTCCCATTGGTGACATGACTCCGTTCAACAGATTAATCTTCAAAGAGGGAGAACCAGTTTGGTCTAGTGATTCAGGCACCAAGCTAGAAAGCAGGAGACCGTGAGTTCTAGTCCTACCTTAGGCATGAAAAACTGGCTGGGTGACTTTGGGCCAGTCACTCTCTCTCAGCTCAACTCACCTCACCTCACAGGATAGTTGTTGTGGGGAAAATAGGAGGAGGAAGGAGTATTAAGTATGTTTGCCGCCTTGAGTTATTTATAACAAAAACAATAAAGCTGGGATAAAAAAAAGTCAAAAAAAAAAAAACTGAGGACTACTAGATGAGGAATGCATTTCTTAATTACTATACTATACTGTATAAAAACCTGAGAAGGGAGAAATATAGGCACAAAGAAAAGGAATGTTCATGTTAGAGGGAAAATAATAAAAGTTCTTGAGTCACATTTTAAAAAAAAATTACAAATTTAATTAGTTAGCACTTACTTCTGGCCCACAACATATGGAGAGCCTCATTTAATGCCTTCACCACCAACAGCTCTTCTAGCTGTAGCTAAATGTACATGAGTTACTGTACAATAGATTATGATGATGAATTGCAAGTAAGTAGAAGCTACACATTTGTTCCAATTTCCCTTCCCAATGCTTTAC